CCCCCCCCCCCCCCCCAGCACATGGAATACCTCCCGGTCCAGGGTCCCAGTTCCACCCTGGAGGGCCACAGCCCCTATCCCCACAGGGTCCCAGCCCAGGGTCCCAGCTCCACCCAGCTGGGCTGGTCTTGTGGCAGCCGGACCTAGCACGGCATGCGGGGACCGCATGCCAGGCCCAGCTGGGTCCTGGGCCCCCTCTGCAGCCCAGTTGGGCTGGGCCCATGGTGACAACCCGTTGTGGCATGCAGGGACTGCGTGTCAGGCCCAGCCAGGTCCTGGGGCCCCTCTGTGGCCTGGCCAAGCTGGGCCCAGATCCTTGAGGGTTGCTAGTCTGGCTTTGCATTGGAGCAGGTTGCACAGCTCCGGGAGGCGCACACAGGAGCCGTGCCTCCTGGAGCCCTGTGACCCGCTCCGGTGCAAAGCCGAACTAGTGAGCCACATGGGACGTGACCAGGTTCTCAGCCCTCCCTGCAGGCACAGGGGGCAGAGGTGGGAGCCAGCCCTGGGGCCCGGCCCATGCTGACAGGACCTGGTGTGGCACACGGTTCCCGCGTGCTGAAGCCTTCCTATAGCAACGGGACCCAGCCTGGCTTGCAGGGACCGCATGGAGCCGAGCTGGGTCCTGCCGGCCCCGGGGCTGCTCGCGTGGCGGCATGAACAGCTCCAAGAGTGGCAGAACCTGGCTCGGCTCTGCATGGTCCCCACACGCTGGGCCGGGGCAGGCAGCACAAGCTGTGCAGTCTCTGGGCGGCTTGTGCTCCCCAGCCCGGCCCAGCCCAGCCCACGCCGTGTCCTGCTGGCCTCAGGCAGCTTATGTTCCCTGGCCCAGCGCACAGGGACCACGCCAGACTGCCAGGCTGCTCGTGCTGCCAGGCAGTCCTGCCGCTATAGGAAGGGCCCAGCTGGGTGGCAGCATGGGCTGGGCCTTAGAACCGGCTCCTGCCTCTGCCCCCTGTGCCTGCAGGGGGTGGTGAGGACCTGGCTCAGTCCCCTGTGGCTCGCTAGTCCGGCTATGCACTGGAGTGGGTCACAGGGAGGTGCAGCTCCTGTGTGCGCCTCCCAAAGCCGTGCGACCTGCTCTGGCGCAAAGCTGGACTAGCGAGCCTCAGGGATCTGGGCCAGGTCCTCACCACCCCCGCAGCCCCAGGGATATCCTCCCCCCCGCCACTCTCC